GCTGTCTTGTGTGGTGATCGAGGGGAGGTCGAGTTCGAGACAGTGAGTGAGTGGAAAGAAAGCCACCAGGGTCTTTTACTCGTCTCATTTTGGAGCAAATAGTCCTACCTTTGTTATATTTTCTCATATACTGTACCTGTACTGTATGCCGCAGTTTTTGGACAATATATTGTTGCACTTTGTTGCTTGTGTTGTCACCAATGTATGTTGTTAACATACCGTACTTGGACGTTCATACCGGACATATACCATAGTTATCTCACTGTTCTCATGAAAAAAAGTATGGTAATACTTGAATGCTTTTGTTCTGTTGATGTTTGGTATGGATTGTCAACATATACGTTTTTTTATATGTACCATATGTTGTGCTGACCCGGCCCACCTGTCAAATTTAGAAATCAATATGGCCCCCGAGCTAAAAAGTTTGCCCACCCCTGGTCTAGCCATTGTACTTTGTCAGTCTTGTCAAAGTTGTAATAGTTTGGTGTCACCTTTTCTGAGTTTTGTCACAGTCACTTGTCTTATTAAAGATTATCAAATAGTTTGTATTTTTAAGGTTCCATCAAGAAATTACCTCGGCAATTACAGTATAAGTTGACATTTGACAAAACATTGCCAAGTGAATTTAGGTAGTGTATTTTTATTCATTTTAGATTTCTAAATAAAATATTTTATTTAATACATTTCCATATTTTTTAACACATACCTCAAATTTGTTCTAACTAAATAAATATCAGCATCACAAAATTACATGCAGGATGTGCAGTAACATTAAAGAATCAGTTCCATATAATTAAATGACAAATCGGTTACTATGCCTTTGTTTAGAAATAAATAAATACATTTAATTTATAACACGATTTACATTTCAGGTGCTACATTAGAAGGTTAAAAATAAATTATAGTAAAATATAACAGAGTTTAATTAAAATATGACTTCACAACAATCAGGACAATAGAAATTCAAGGTTAAAAACACTTCACGAAGTATCACAGTTACAATTGATGCATATATTGAGAGACAAAAAAAGTTCTATTTTAATGTTACAAGATCACAATAATCAAATTGATGGTCACATTTGGAAAAGGTGAGAACTTAAATAAATTGAAAACTCATGATTTGTTTTACAAAGCCATGCAGACCCACAGCAGAAAGATAAAAGAGCCACTTGCAGCTCTGGAGCCACAGGTTGCCTACACCTGAGCTAGGCACTTTTAGATTAATTGGACAGGTTTGTCAAGAAATTACACTATGGATATATTTGCGCATAAACGATTATTCAAACTTGAGTGTCCCAGCGCTTGTTCGGGCCAACAATAAGTTAGCCTACATTTTACCATGCCTGCATCCTATAAAACAATGCGGCTTGCTTATGTGTTAAATACGGAAATAGCACATATAACTGACACAATGCCATTAAATACAATAACTCTTTTGATATATTTAAAACGGTTTATCACTCCTCACAATCTGGCACTTGTTTCACAATGTACAAGATATTCAAAGTGTATGCAGTTGTAATCCGCCTGCAAAAACCTTTTTATGATGATGACGTAGAATACAGCTAGAAATGCATACAACTCCAAGTAGACTCCAGAAAGTATTTTTTTTATATTTTATCAGATAAAAGGCTTGCACAGTGGTGAGATGTCTGAATGTGCACATGTTATGTATTTATAGTATCGTGGATGCCCATCCTTTCATTCTCGCTCTTGGCAGTTTGACAGTCTAAGGGGGAGGGTGTGTGGATTGGGTGCAATGGAGAGTCCAACCAGGGAAGGGAACATGTGTAATGGGTGCTAAATGGGTTGCTGCCATGGCGTGGACACAAGGGAATAGCTTATTTTCCACTGATAGCCCGGCTGCCTGAACATCCAAGGGACAAATTCCTGGAGCCCTGAATGGATTGGATTGTGTCAGCTTGAGCATGTGGCTCTCTGCCAGCTTGATTTTGGGCCACCGCACCACTGGCTGAATGTGGCTAATTCGAAATATAACCCTTGCCTACTTTACTCCAGTTGATCTAAAGCACAATATTTATTTGGGATGTTTGGGACCACATTTTTTCAGACCAATATTAGAATGGGTACTCAATTCTTGAGTACTCACCGATACCAAGTAACTTAGACCATTCGTACTTTTTATATATATACAATTTCGATAAAACTAATGACAGATAATTTGAAAGAAAACAGTCACTCTGTAAAACAGAATTTATGTCCAAAATAGAACACAACTCACTCTGATTTAGAGTTCATTTGTAATGAATTGACAAAAGTGTGAAATAAAACTAATAACTCAATGAGTTTTAGTCTTTGTTCAAAATATCTTCAAGTACAAAATAATACTTGTTCAACTGTTAAGGATTACACTGTGAAGTTGGAAAATAGGTTAATGCAGCTGATAACATCACAATGTAAATATTTCACATCATATAATTATATTGGTGAATATTTCTTTAACCTAGTGACTGGTATCTGTGATTGGTATCGTCAGGCCTCGTAGGTTCTTGATACCTGGAAATAAGTCCGGAATCGGCCCATTACCACACCCTCATATTGGTATTGGTGATTTGGTAACACGACAAAACAATATTTGGAAATGTGTTAAGGTTGATGGGGTCCATCCATCCATCCATCCATCCATCCATTTTCTTATCCGCTTATCCTCACGATGGTCATTGTAGTGTTGGAGCCTATCCCAGCTGTCTTCGGGCAGTAGGCTGGGTACACCCTGAACTGGTTGCCAGCCAATCGCAGGGCACACATAAACGAACAGCCA